TTACAAAATGCAGTAGTGGGTAGAATTCTTGTTATCTGAATGTATACTAAAATGCTCCATTTTATTTTTCTCATGTTGCAGATTTCAGTTTTCCTATTGTCAGACAGATGTTTTGGGTACTACATTCATGGGCGATCTGTGCATGGCCATTCAGATACAAATATGGAAGAGATGAATATGAACCTAAAAAGGGAAGCAGTAAGTGAATAAACCAGAAGAGTGGAAATCTAAAATGGTTTCATTCTATCAATTTTGCTTCTGCTACAATCTTAAGTTCAGTTCATTCATTGATACCCAATTAACAGTTTACTCTCTTCTACCTTCCCATCAGTTGATTTTTCAAAATACTCCAGTTCTGTCACAGCTTATGAAATTCACCAGAAAGAGACAAATAAAATATTTCACATGAACTTAACACTACAATGAACAATATTTAACTGGGAGGTGTTAACACACAATCCATTGTCTCTTTCAAAGGAGTTTTTAATTTTTTAAACCATGTTATAATGTTTGCATTATTTGTATGGTTGCCTTATTTATTTATTTTGACTCTTTTTTGTAATTGTTCATATTTTAATTTTAAGCCATCCAGAAAAAAGGAATAACTAAATTACCAAAGCTTGTAAGAATATCCTAATGATTATGGAGATTCTCAGTCATCCAGGTCCTAGTTATCCCAAAGGTGCTTTTTCACGAGGCAACTGGACTTTCTTGTTTTTCTTTGAAGAAATTTCACTTTTCATCCAAGAAGAGAGATCACAACAGCAGTTAAAGAAAAAGGTCATTGATTTCTTGCAACAACTACAGAAGCACAATGCCACTGAAGAATCTTCTTGGATAAGAAGTGAAATGTCTTCAAAGAAAAACAAGAAAGTCCAGTTGCCTTGTGAAAAAGCACCCTTGGGATAGCATCCTAATGAATTTTAGTCATAGAGACAAGGCATCTGCAGGACACTGATCAGAAAGTCAAGATGACAACCAGAAATGTACAATCAAAGCCCCACCCCCTTTTAATCTGCTTTGTAAGAGACAGGTGCAGTTGTGGCTGCCATCATTACTTTTTTTACTTTAATTCCTATAGCTCTCCCTGAAGAGACTACATTCAACTGAACCATTAGCATATCAATATTATCTTTCATCACTTTTTGGTGGTGGCTGTTCTTACCATTATATAACTTATGAGCAGTATTTTATATCAGAATTTTAGATTCTCTACAGTTCTGGAATCACATATTGTACATATTCTATTGTGACAGAAATAATATGGGGCTCCCAAACCTGAGCTAGAAAAATCCAAATCGACCAAAGAGAAAGAGAAAATTAATTATTCCCATCCAGTGTATGTCCAGATTTTTTTTGCAGCTTGTATCTGATCACCCTGTATCAGTGTTGCTAAACCTTGACAACTTTAAAATGTGTGTATTTCAACTTTCAGAATTTGCTGTCTACAAAATTCTGGGAGTTGAAGTTCATACATCTTAAAAGTTGCCACGGTAGAGAAACACTAACCTAGTGTTAAATTTCAATCTTTGCACATGTTATTTCATCAATTCTTTGTGTCATTTCCTCAGGAAAATCTGTGTAGCCAAAGAGGCTTGTTACCAAATACAGATGGTCAGACATTTCAGATTTCCATTTCAAGCAAAATGAGGCAGCAATATGACAAGATTCATGAATCATTGACAAGGGTATATATCTTTTTCTTGTTAGACTGTTTGCTATCAAATATTTGAAATATAATTTTTGCAGGAAATATGTGACCCAATTCTTGCTAGAGTATGGTATTTGATACAATTACTTCTCTCATTTTTGTTATCCTTGAATAACCAAGAATTTATTATTAATTCTCTATGTGTTGTATAGGTGGATCATCACTTTCCATTCATATTCCTACAGTTTGAGTGGAGTTTACCATTTATATTTGTATGTTAAAATGGTTAATGAGGTCCTTTTGGATAGTAGCATTAGTGCAGATTATACTCTTGGGAGAGACTAAATGTAGCTCAAGGTTGGACTGTGAAGTTGTTGGTGCTCTCCGTACTTGGTTGTTTGTTGCAGACATTTTGTTACTCAACTAGATAACATCTTCAGTGCTAAAAGGGAGTGATTATTTGCTCTGTTTGTAGCTTGCTCTGACAGTGTTGGTGGCGGTGTTATTTTCTTCTGAGTGGTTCCTAGATGTTTACTGCATTCATGCAAGTGACGCTGCACATGCATGGTAGTGGGCCATAGCCTGGGACTTAGGGACCCCTGCTTCAGATTAATTTTTATTCTCTCTTTTTCCTTTCAGAAACATGGTCCCGTTAGGCTTCTGAATTCTTCTGCAACTACATTTGAGCAAAGCACAAAAGCATACCATACTATGAATAAATTTCTAAGCTCATTTATTGATCATGTACGTATTATAATTAACATAAAAAATATTGGTTTTCATGCAGTTGTGAGTTAGCTTGCTTTAGCTTGTGTTTCATGTATGTCTCTTTATTAGGTGCAGTATATTTTTGTCCCAAATATGGCTCGTTGTTCGTTTATTATTGCTGCAATTCCTCCAAGGTGCCTTTTAATATAATTTGTGAACAGAATTTTTAGCTATGATACCCAGAACATAGTGTTATCTGCTCTGACAATATTCTGCTAGCAGATGGGGCATTATTATATTTTAGTTTTTTTATTTAACAGACTTTGGCTTGATCTTTCAGTTGTTGTTCATCATCTCTATTATCATCATCATACACACTATTATTTTATACCTTTTATCCTGTTTTGCTTAGTTTGCAAACATTATCTTACAGTGAACACATAATTTACTTTTTCTGTTACTGTTCTTTTGAAAGGAATTTCATAATGAAGAGTTTCTTTTGCTTTCTTCTGAGTTGTTATGTTTTCCCTTTTTAATAGGTTCATAAGGAAATGGATTACATCATAAAGGACAAATTATTATTAGAAAGACTTCTTGGAATGGAATTTATGGAACCAATGGAAAAGAGCATCTTTTACAATGGTATTGCCAATGTAGATTTCAGATGTTTAATTTATGAAGGCACAGGAATCCTAGCAATTTATTTCAATATGCAATCTTTTTTTTTGTCTTGCACAGCATTTAGTGTTTCCAAAAAATTATCAGCTTAACTACATAACATATAGCTTATGGATCTGCCTTCAGCAGTGTTGTCTCTGCTACATCTTTTGTTTAAAATTTACAGAATTTACAATTTTGAATAGTTCCTTAAAGATGAGGACACATTTCACACTCATTTTTCTCTCTTAACCTGATCTCAAGGCATTAAAACACTTTTAACAATTAGAGAGGAACAGTTCTTTCCTGTAGTATTTGTTCAGACAAAATTAGTCAGTTTCTGAGCTTTGAGATTTGTGATACATTTACCAAACATCCCTAACTGAATTGCTGCAGCTAAAACTACCTTAGTTTCTAAGTTATAAGTTAGCCATAATGCAACCATCTAATTAAGTCCCAAAGATTTTAACTTGCAAAAGTGTTACAGCCTATTAGCGTAATGATTCTCCATCTCTATAAATAGCATGTAGATAAATGTTGATCTTTTTAAAATTCTGATGAAAACACTTTCTTTACCAAAAGAAAAGGCAGAGATGAGATTAAGTTGTGAATCCTTCATCTATTCTATCACTTTGCTTAATTTCAACACTAAGTCTGAGAATGGAAATTCCTTTATAGAGAAAACAAGCAGCTTCCCTTTCTGTTCATACTGGCAGAAGATTAGAAGTGTTATTTTTTCATTCTGAAGAGTCTTCGATTTTTAGGAATTTGGTCACAAATAGCCTATTGCTCCATGCAATTTAATTTTTACAAAAAGGACGCTCAGGTCAGGCTTGATTCCTAGCAATATGCTATTTTTGTGGCAACAATCTAAAAATGGTTTGGCATTGACTTTTTCCAGCTTGTTTTCAACCTTCCAATAAATTTCTTGATGGTCTCCCATCCAGATTCTGGACAATAACTTTATAAACCTTTAGAAATCAAATGCTTCTAGTTGTATTTTTAATCGTATTTTGCTTTTGAGAAGGGCTTTGAAACTCTATTATGCTTGGCAGAATTGCATATACATTAAACACATTACATTGCTTGCAGCCAAATATAACTTTGAGTCGTACATTATTATTTTTTCAAATCTATACAGATAGTTCATGTTCCCTTTGGCATTGCATGTTCTCTGTATTTTTTATCAATTCTCCAGTACAGTCAATTGGCTATGGATTATGAGAGATGGAACCTAGTTTGAAAAAACATTCTAGTAGTAGTAATGATTTTATAAAATACTTTGCTTTTTTAAAGGCAAGTTATTCAGCAGATTTTTTAATGTTTTACATTTTATTTATTTTTCATTTTTGCAGATGAAGGTCATTCTTTCAGCGATATTCTTTATTATGGCAATGAAAGTACCCTTCTCATCTTTGATATGCTGTTTTTTGCCATTGTGGATATGGCTGCTCAGAATTTCGTTTTAGCAGCTGTTCTTACATATTTACAACAAGAGGTAAATCTCACAATTAGAATAACATAGATAATGCTTTAGGGTTCCATTCTGTCATTTATTTACAACTTGTAGTTATCCTGTGGGAAAATGTATATTGTTAAAATTATTAATATCCATAAATTGCTATATACTTTATATAAACATTTTAAATAATCCATCTTTCACAATTTAAAAGGAAATGGGAAAACACACTGGAACAGAGAGGTTTGGTGATTTCCCATGAAAGTAGTGTTTTAAAGATTTATATTTAGACTTTTTCCTGGGTTCTTTTATCCCTCCAAAGAAGCATTATGCAATTATACCTGGCAATAAATAACTTATTGTTATTTTATAAACTATGTTTAGTATTAAGTAAACTTAATCTGGTGTGGCATTTTCAGGAAGTACTCTGAATTCAGTTCAGAATCCTCTGGTAAATTCCCATTTGTTAATAAAATCTGACTGTTCAAACAGCAAAGTCATGTGGTTTCGTTTGTTTGGCTGTTAGAATACCTCTAGAATTTCCAAGAAATTATAACTTCCTACTCTCTGAAAGCCTAAAATAGCATATTTAAGACTGGTCATTTTAATTTGATATATCCTATAAAGCAGGGCTTTTCAACCAGTGGTACGGGTACCATCTGTGGGACATTGGTACCTGGCAGGTGGTACGTGACCATCCTAGAAAAATGGTAGCGGGGAGGGGAATGAGCTGAACCGGTGGCAGCACCGCACAAGCCTGAGCGAGAGACGGCTGGAGCTGCAGGGCTGTCAGGGCTCAGTGGAAGCGACAGGATCAGTGCCAGGCTCCAGCTGGAGCTCGGCACTGATCCTGGCGCTTCTGCTGAGCCCTGAAGAAGCACCAATCAGCTGGAAAGCAGCACTGATCCTGGTGCTTCTGCTGAGCCCAGAAGAAGTGCCGATCAGCTGGAATGTTGCAGCATCTCCAGGGTCTTGTGATTTACATTCAGATGCTTGGCAACTGATTCATATTTAAGATGGTCACAGTGTCCCAGGGTCATGTGAAGTGACCAAAACCTGCTGCAACCACCCAGCAGACGGGGGGAATAAAAACCAAACACCCCCCCACCCCACCCCTGCTGCCAATCCTCAACAGAAATGCTCACAACAATGAAAACCTCGGACAGGAGGAAGTGCCGCTGGGTGGGCAGGCAGGTATCTTGCTCGGCTGTGGCTTGGGGGGCACTTTTTTCAATACCATTGTAAGTTCGAACAGTCACTAAGCGAACTATTGTAAGTTGAGGACTACCTGTACTTTATCACTTTTTTCCTTTTTGGGGGGAGGGTCATCAAGTTTTTGACATCTTGCTAGGCGACGGGTGGTACTCGGATGTTGCCATATCCTAAAAGTGGTACAATGGGTGAAAAGGTTGAAAAGCCCTGCTATAAAGTGACTGATCTTAAAGCTTTGCTTTTGATATATTTCTTAGAATTCCAAATTAATATGAATACACAACATTAGATAGATTTGGATGTTCCCCTTTTTCTCACGGACTGTAGTATCAATTTGTCACAATCTAAGACAATAATCTATATGAGATTAAACAGTATGTAAATTAGCAGACATTTGCTGCTACACACAGAATATTTGGTTCAGTTTGTGACACATCATCTAAATCTGCTTTGTGTTCTTAGATTTTCAGGTTCATTCGTAATACAGTTGGGCAGAAGAATTTAGCATCCAAGACATTAGTGGATGAAAGATTCCTGATATAAATGAAAAAAAAATTAATGGACACTAATGTTGCTCTGAAAAAGAAGTTATGCAAAAGAAGAATCTGTTTGCAGTATTATTTAAATATTAATGTATCCTACTTTTGTTATGTGGCATACTGGAAAATCTATTTTGTATGAATTAAATATTTCGGTACTTGTAGTAGTTCATAATGAATACCATGCCCTAGAGCATTGATAAAATACCACAAAATCCTATTGTCAATATTACAAAATAAAATTTATGTATTAATTTTGTAATTTTATACAAACTCAAATTTGCTACTGCAATATTTCTGTTGTGGCTATGTTGAACATATTTGCATACGGTATAAGTAACCTTTATGGGTTTATAATTTTATAGTCTCATGAACTACTTGATTTAGAATATGTAAAGTATTTAAATACCATTTTTAATGTTTCTGTAATTTTATAAATTTCTATAAACTTTTATAATTTTACTATGTTAAATTAAATAAATAATGGGAAAAAATAAAGAAATTGGAGGATTATGGCAGAAAATACTGGAAGGTACGAGTCTTAAGAGTGCAAGGGCTAACGTAATTACTTTTTTTCACAGAGTTCAAGGACCGCTGAACATTTAGTATATTTAAACAGAAAAAACTTGGAAAAGGGGAAAAGCTATAGTGTCCCTGGTTATAATAAAACAAGTATGTTGTTATTTCTGCTTTGTTTCATATGTCAACAAAGAATTCTGGAACTTGGTTACTTTAGCTGGTAGTTTTGCTGATCTCCTGAATAAAGGCATGCTGGGTTTAGCCTTCCACTAAAGTAACAAATGCTGACAGATGCAAAAAAATATGCTGATCAAATTAAACAAAGCAGTTATGGAAGCAAACAAGCCTCTACTGCCTGAGTTGAGGGTCAGTAACAAGTAGCCAGTCCCACACAGTGTCCTGACAAACCAATCAGCATGTAACTAGCCTTGTGCAGTGAAGAAATCACATGTTGATGGCTGCCATATATAACTGAGTATATTTTCAGCCAGTTTATGAGGGAAATTTTCCTCCCTATTGTACTCATTAAACGTTCTGAAAGAAACAAGTATTTCCTCATGAGTGTATGTGTGCCTTCAAGTCAGTTTTTGACTCTTTGAAACTGCCTGCAGTTTTCTTAGAAAAGATGTCATTGTCTTTTTCCTAGGGCTGAGAGAAAGTGATTGGCTCAAGAGTAATGATATGTGGGAATATCCTTGGGATAGAGACATAGCTAAGGGAACAATCAGATAGAGCCTATTTAGTACCATAATCTACTGCAAGAATGTGGATATAGCAGATGTCTCAGAAGGGAACATTCTTAGTTTCTTGAGCTATAAAGACTGAGGAAGAAATGTACTTTCAAATTTGCAAGGTTCATAATGATGATAATAATAATAGTAAAGTTGGAAGGGACCTTGGAGGTCATCTAGTCCAACCCCCTGTTCTGTTCATATAACCTTACAATAAAGTAAAATTAACTAATCTGGTCATGTTTCTTGTCTAGTCTACCTCATATAAATAAATTAAATAAATAAGACTGGCTTCTTGCCTAATTAGGGACTAGTTTGTACCATAATGCCTTACCAAACTGGCTCTCGTGTCTTCATATGAAAACAAACTAAATTGTAAAACTCTGTAGAATAAGATATAGAGGCGACCACTATTTACTTATTTCCAGGAGATAAACGTGAGAGCTAAGTGGAGCTGGTACCTGATGTCAGCTTTAAATTTGAGTATCTGAATGCGCCCCTCCTCCCAGGAAGAAGAGTAGTAAGGACAGAAGACTCCAGGTGACAGAAGGAGGTTCCCTTCAGGAGGTGTGAACTGCCAGGTTGACTGCAAGAATGGAGAAGCTTGGATATCAAAGCACCCAACACATTTATTATCAGACACTAAGAGGAACAAATTAAAAAAAGCCATCTTGATAGTTGGGAACACTCAAGACATTTTGCTAGCAATGCAATTTATCCTAGCAGGACTTTGTCAGTCGCTTTATTTGTTGCACTGTTTTTTCTCCATTGGTGGGATTATTCAAAGGGCTGCTGCCTCTGGACCACCCTGGGTATGTTGTCTCATTCCTGCTGGGCTCCTTCTAACCTTAACATAGCCTTAATGCATATATTTCACTCAGGACCTCCCTAGAGGGGGTGGGAGGAGCCCTCTTTCTCCAGCCCGGCTGTAACTCTCTGCCTTTTTCCAATTCTTGTCTGCATAGAAAGGAGAGATTTACAAAGAAACATAAAGGGAGGGGGTGCTGGCATTCCTCCCTCTACACCATGCAAAGCCTAGCCTTTCACAAAGCCTATTTTTTTCCACAAATTCTGTCTACTATTTTGTACATGACTGAAAATGTATAACCTATATTGGAGGCTAAGGAAAGCATCTTTCTGCTATCTTCCCAAGTCTTTCATTAACAGAAGTAAAACCTTGATTAAATAGCTGTCTATTATTTCACAGTAATCTTCAGCCCCAAATTGTGTTCATTGCATCCAACTTTGATCAAAGAAGTCTGTTAAACCTAGGCTTTACTGTTATGTATTCTAGGAAATGACCCACTGAGAACACATTGCAAAAGATCACTTGCTTGTAGATTATCAGAATAACAGAGTTGGAAGGGTCCTTGGAGGTCTTCTAGTCCAACCCCCTGCTCAAGCAGGAAACCAATAAATAAAGATTTAATTTTTTAATTTAAGGACCAATGTGTTACAGAAATATACACGCTAATCCATTATTGGTTTCTACAGACTGTAAAATATATGCATGATTTAATTTTCCTGATATTTCAGCCACCATTGAGAAAAAGCACTACATTTTATTAAAGTTGTGGACAATGAAGTCTTAGAAAATGGAGAAGGGTATGCTCACATTGATCAAAGCATGAGACTTGCCAAAACATTGTAAAATTCTACTGTTTGCTTGATAGGAAAATTTCCATGTACTGCACAGATCTACTATATCTACAAAAAGCCATTTGAAGATAAAAAGAAGCCAGTTCAACTGCTTTTCTGTCTTTGCATTTCCTATCATCAACTGAAGTGAATTGAAGAAGCTTCTTGGATGAAAAGCAAAAATGTCTTCAAAGAAAAAAACCCAAGAAAGCCCAGTTGCCTTTTGAAAAAAGCACCTTTGGGACAACCATGATCTGGATGACTGAGAATCTCCATAGACATTCCTATCATCAAATCACTCTTTTTGTTTCCTTATAACAAGTATATTTCAATACTATGTTATTAAATGAAATTGTGACAAAATAAATACATCTGCACAATTACTGTACTATTAATATGAGCTAATTTCCAAATTTAGCATCTTTGATATAAAATCTTTCCTACTTAGTTTTGCCTTGCACTACAACATATGTATCCCTCAAGTTTTATAGAAGAAAAAAGCAGATGGTTAAGGCTCCATATGCATATGTGATCAATTGTACAGATGGCCATTCCTCCTTCCATCTGCAACCCCAAAAGAATTGTGAAATTCTTCAGAAAATACACTAACCAAATTAAATGCAACTTCTAGAAGCGTGAACAGTATTCTTGATAGAATTGTGACTTACTCCATAAAAATAATCTAGTACTTTAAAAAAAACCAGAATGATCTTTCACAGACTTAGTAGCTCCAAACACATTTTAATAATGAATAATTGAGAAATTACTTTCCTACTGCAGCATAGTCCCATGGGTTCCACTGTTGTGTATTATGTTGATTAAATTCACAATGCTGCAAGTTCAAGGCTCATAACTGCTGTCTGGTAGTTAAAGACACCAGACTTAAAACAGGAAGACCATGAGTTTGAACCAGTCAATATTTCTCAGTCCTTGGAAGAAGATAAGTCTATGTAATCACCAGGAGTCAGGATTAGCTTGAAGAACATACAGTAAAAATAAGCTTCTTACCATAAGGGACACTGAAGATAAATATTTTAAACAAATAATGAATGAAGACCTAGCTAAAATCACGATACAATATCAGACTATAATCTGAAAAGTAAGCATTATTTGAGTGAATTGTTTTGTGAAACCATAGCACTGTTAGCATTTGTTCAGGGACAAAAATGCAACCTAAAGGAGAGTTTCCCCAAACTTCTAAGAAGCTATATAGAGTGAATCTTAAGAGTAAGGTAGAATGCATACAACAGTGAAGTACAACAGGTCCAAGGTGATTCTGACATTCATTATCTATTAAGGAAGTTGCCTGAAAGATTGTAGCTACAGTATATCTTCAAGCACTATTCTAGATCAATTACCACCTACAGTAAATCACACTGCAGTTCTCTTGAGTTATATTGCCACAACCCTACTACTATAGTCCCTTATTTATTTATTTATTTATTAATCGCATTTATACCCCGCCCTTCTCCTAGTGGACTCAGGGCGGCTTACAGCCAGTTTAAAACAGAATAACAATACAATATACAAATTTAAAATGTGGTTAAAATAAAATATTAATATAGGCCTTTTATTTTAAAATTATTTAAAAACCAAATTTAAAATACCCCTTAGGCCAGTCCTGCCAGCTGAAATAACCATGTCTTGAGGGCGCGGCGGAAGGAGGGGAGATCCGGAATCACCCGGATCTCTGGGGGTAGTTCGTTCCAGAGGGTGGGGGCTCCAACAGAGAAGGCTCTCCCCCTGGGGGTCGCCAACCGACACTGTCTGGTTGACGGCA